GGGGCTCCGATTTACTTAGACTAAGTCCACCTCTGCCTTGTACGAAGAGGGATTGTTGTACGACCTACGCTTCCTGGCAAGCACCTTAAGAAATACGACATCAGTTTCTCAGCTCTAAGTTGTGACCAAAGGTGCTCTAAAGGCAAGATGATTACTGTCTGACAAATGTGGCTAACTAAGGAATGAAATTTCTCACATAAAACCACATCATAACGGAATATAAATTTCATTTAGCAGATTTTCATCTCTATTTTTGAGACGTTGAGTACGTAACAAGATAAATGGACATATGGAAGATTTGGCCGACGCTTACTGACATTTTTGTGCTGACGTCAGCTGCATAAATTTTAATAAAACCACAATGTATGTTTGTGGGTATTGCAAACTTGATAATTAATGCATTACCATGTCCGCATTCTTATTCGAAAGGGCAAATTAATTTTTTTAATAGACTGCGAATAGTAACTCATCGAGTTAATCGATAACCGCAACGATTGCATAAATAAGGAAAAGGGGGAAAAGGCGATAAGCAGAGGAAAATAGAAAATGAATATTGTTTTATTTTCAATTAAGTATTTTGTGGTTAAGTTGAAAACACAGTATGTCTTTCTTCTATTCACGGCTCATTGAAGGTTTTTACTAAATTCTATAAAAAAAATAAAAAATAAAACCAATTAAAATGTTGCATTTCCTATACCGCCTCGCCACCAAACTTATCAATTTAATACAAATTAAAAACTGTAGGATTAGAAAAATGATTCTTCAGAGTATTTAGGTGGAGCGTCTCTTGTTCTTTTTTTTTCATAAAATATCTTGTTACCTTATGAAATCTTTCCCTGGCAAGCCTTATATGTAAAGCCAATGTTCATCATAACCTACAGAAAATTCAATTTTTTTTGCCATAAACCGACAGGTCACGTTCATCTGGAAAACCAAAAGCCTACTTTAGTGGGCCTTTGTTTATAAAAATAATGATCTTAAAAATGCTCGCAATCAATTCATTTATCGGAACATTGATCTTTGAGCCAAAACATCTCAGTGCATTAAAATTCAGCAAAATATTTTAAAAATTTGCCATTTATAGGTTGAAGAAAAGAATTCATGGACAAACAATAGACGGCCAGACCAGCTTAGATTAATTGGTAGAAGAACTCTGAACTCAGTTGTTTTCTTCTATTAGGCTTGCGTGCATTCGATTTCTTAACTTTCATATGACAGGGTGTTTATGAAAATAACGTGAACTAATCGGTTCTTAGCAGCGTTTGTCTTTGAACGAAATCTTCAGTTCACCAAGAAATTAGAGAAAGATACTTACGATCAGCAGATTGAACAAAGATATACATGGACTCACATCGAGTATGTAGACGGACGGACGATTAGACTTGAAAAATACCTGCACTAACTTAACGCAACTCTAAATGCAGATGATGTAGCGTACAACAACAAATCGACAGCATAGCAATGAATCGAATAACGAAGCATTGCTTTGTTAAGATGTTTTCATAATTTTTCAGAAAATGTTTCCATTTTTCGGTGTAAGTTAAAGGGTTCTAAACTAATAGGGTTCAAAAATTGCACAAATTTTATATGCAAATACATACATCAAAGAATGTAAAGTATAGCTCTTATGGCTGTGTGCTATATTTTTGGAGGAGATTGCGATTAACTATATTAACAACAGGCCTACGCTCATATACAGTAAAGGCATCGTGTGCTTATGAATGGAAAGCATTTATTATACCGTAACATATAGAAGGGCTTGAGATAGATCCGAATTTCATTATATTGATCATCCGCTGAATTAATGTAAATTTGTCTGTCCGTCCGTCTGTGTTGTTTTCTTTTGCTCAAGCCACAGGCCAAGATTTTTGCGATACACTGAAGTATTTCGGACCAAAGGCGAACAATATTGAAAATGGTTTGGATCGTACCATTGCACTGCGTTGTTTTGAAAAGCCGTTATATGAATGATGGTAGAGTAGTGTAAAACATTTAATGGTAGGCCGTGGTTTACTTGTTTTTATTTTTATTTCTATGAAATGGTAAATTGTTGAAAACATCTCAACGAGATTTGCTTTGATTTAGGATAAATAAATGAATGCAAATCCGCGGGAATTTACATTTTTAGTATAACAAGCTTTAGAGAAATTTATAGTGCGTACTATTGCGAACGTTTATTTCCAATTCGAGTTCCAATTTAAACATTTACTTCAACTATACACGAGCGATATGATGTGCGACGATGTAGGATGTGTTCATTCGTTACATAAAGTTGCATTCGTAATATGTATGTAATATGCCATGGATGGAAATACGCGCGTTTGCGAAAGGAAATCAATAACAAGCAATGACCTAGTTAATGTTGCTATTGTGTAGGTAGGTGCAGATACCTCGATTACAAACTTTCGCATATATTGATGCTTAGTGATTCATTACTGCCTTTTAATTATAATCGCAGCGAGGAGCATATTACGTTTTTCAAATGCTTATAACGCGTTTAAATATGCATTGACGTACCGTAAAATAGGTATATATTTTCAATTATGATGAATATCGATCTGTCATCAGTCTCTCCATCTATTTGCTGGCATTCGCACTACGTACGTGCGCCATCGGCCTTCAGCATTGAAATCAAGATTAAGACCATAAAGTTGGATTTTCAATTTGTTTTATTAATTAAATTGGATTAGAAATTCTGAAAAGTGTGCTCGGCAAACAAAGGGTGAAGTTTATAAGAGACAACTGACATTCTAGAGATATTTTATATCAAAATTTAATCATGACAAAGGGATTTTCAAAACGAATATGAGGTCTTCTTACAGTGAGCATCACACACATTGTTACAAATCGATGACAACAATAGCAAAATTAGATGAATTTCGGTTCGAGTTACTGGCACATGCTCCACCTTCTCCACATGAGACATCAGCGACGTTTAGCCCCATCGATGAGGACATTACTGTAGCGAACTTTCACAATGATTTTATAAGAAGAGACGTCGAAATATTAGAGTAGAACTATTGCAGCACTTTTGAAGATGACTATCTTGATGGGTAAAGTCAAATTTACCGAAAAGAGAATTATTTTCTTACCTAGTCTCGGGTATTTTTGGCCGATGATATATCTTAACGTAGCGAGGTTTACTACTTTCAAGTAGCGCAGCATTTTTCGGCTATGTTACATTCATTTTATGTTATAGCCTGCAATCGTGTGCCATACTTGAATATGTTTGTATGTTTAGTATGACATTTTTTGGCTATGTTGGGGTAAGTTTACCTATATGCTACATAAAATCCAAATGTTTAAACTTGTTACAGTAATAATTTGCTAGTTGTAAGCTATACGAATCAATCTTTCTATCAAAGCTGGGCATTTACACTAAAAATAGTTTGATGCTTAAGCTTACGTAACTTATTTTAATACTAAACACCTATGTGTTTTATACGGAACACAATTTTATTACTTTCAAATTATTTTATGTCAATGCATAAATTTATCGCTCAGAGTTATGTTTGTATTCGCCGTTGTCTGCTAACCATCACGGACTGTTGTGCATTAAATATAAACTGAAATTTGTGTCAAGTTTTTTAGAAAACGTTAATTAGTTTAACCAATATATACGAAGAGTAATTCCAGTTTGGACATAATAACTTCTTTGCAAAATTAAATAGAAGCTTAGCGTGACTCAATAAAAAGTCACAGGAAAAAGAATTCATGGAATTTTGATTTCTAACGTATACGCATATGTATATGTATGTATATATATATATCGAGTTTGACCGACCAGGTGACCGTTTATCAACTGGATAAGGATTGGACATAAACTCAATCACCATCACATTTACAATACTTTCGGGACATTTTCAATTGAAAATTTTGCCCGGATTTTATTAAATTTATCCAAAAGAGAAGAGAAACAAGATAACTGTACTTATGAAAAAATTCGCTGTCAGCTAAACATACTCCATCTTGGATAATGTTTTTTTACATCGTTTTTCTGTCGATGAAAGACTAAGTCATTGTTGTTGTTGTTGTTGTGTATTTAAGCAAACGAATAGCTAAATGCTAGTGAGGATTTGTTTATTTTCTGAAAATCGCTTTGTTTCCGCCTATATCGCTATACTGTAATTTATGCGCACAAATAAAGATATCGCATGGATACGAAAACATCAAAAGAGTGAATTTTTATAACCAGTCATCGTATTCGATTGTTGATATGACATTGTTTTCATTCACGCTCTTCACCGAAAGCATGTTGCTGTCTACTTAAGTTAAGGAAATCATATCAGCAAAATCTGTTGATGTAATCGTTCACTTGATCGTTTATCATTATTTTTTCATATTTCATCAATTCTTGCTCATTTGTTGTTGCGAAAAAGTTGCAGTTGTTGCGAGAGAGCAATTTATAAAAAATTGATACAAAAAATGCTCTCTTCCTGAAAATTATTAGATGAGGCGGCTAACAGAGATCACTGCGTTAGAAAAGAAGGCGAAATTTTATTTTATTAATACACGTGCTTGGAATTTAAATGCAAGTGATCTAAACTTATCGAAGAACATGCCTACAATGCCCACGCGTCTATACGACAAAAGCCTTTATTTTGAAAATAAAAAAAAAACCAACTTCGCGTACTCCATACTACAAAGCAGGAGAATTTAATTCTTTTACTATTTTTGTGCTTTCAGGATAGCGTTGGTGGGTATAGAAGATTCGGTTATGACCGAATATAATTTTTTTGTTTATTTCTTTTTTATTATATTAAAAAGCCCCTTTACAGTTATACGTCTTATTTGCGTAAATTTGTTAATAGTGGGAATGACTTAGCAATGAAAATTTTCTTCAAAAAGTTCGTTGAAATTAACGTGAGAATAAACAAAGTTTAAGAATCCGATTGAGTTGAAAATTAATTTTAATAATTATTCGAATTGTTATTTTTGTTGCCTAAGGACTGTTTAGCTTGAACACTCATTCATTTATTGAATTTTAATTTTTATTTCAGCATTATCGGGGTTCATTAAAATCGTTGAATACCGGTATTGTGACTTTACTCAATTATGGAAAACATGTGCCACCCGCTGTATCTCACGTTACTTTAGCTCATGAAATTGGCCACAATTTTGGATCACCGGTAAGTAAATTCTATTACATACGATTCATTAACGCTTAGAACATTTCAAGCGTTCCTTTCTTAACTTTCCTTAGTCCTCACTGATTTAGTTATATGCATTCGTTTGTCCCTTTATTTTGCTGTTCAATCGCTTGTAACTAAAAACTTTGCATATATTTATCGATTACGATACGAGATCAGAAACATGACCCAAAAACAACAATTTAGTCTCTCTAATTTATATATTCTTGATCATCTGATATTCTTAATTGACTTTAGTTAATTATAACTTACGACAGGCCAAGGCGAATATAATGCGGCGGTCAATAATTTCCGGAATTAAGTAAGAAAAAAATTGTCGCCTTTTTTGGAATTGGAAAAGTCAACGCAATATCCTTCTCGAGCCAGGCGTTCAATCCAATACTTTTACAACATTTTCCAACATATATTCTTTCCTATAGGACGATCTGAAAAAACTCTTTAGCTGATATATAGCTTTACAATTAAGAGGTACCGTACCGCATGCACGAGTGACAATTTTAGTCAATTTATCAGCAAGAATTTAAACCGAGTTTAGCCTCTCAATCGTAGTCAACAAACTAGATGTTATTCTTGACGAAATATTGATCCCTCTAAAAACGTTTCTCTTTAGTAATTTCTTCACATATTTATATATAGGAAATTGCGTGAATTCTCTCTAGCTTTTAACTTTACGATGGTCTAGCATATTCCCCAAAAAGAGAGTCGATTCACCTAAGAACCCCTTACTCGCTCCTGAAACACTTCTAATAATTCTTCTTCTTCTTCTGTTCATGTTTTTTCAAGGGGTTATCATAAAGATACGAACAGAAACGGATTAGAAGTTAATTCAATTTTAAACCGCAGTCGCTGGTAACAGTCAGTTAGAGTTGAAACTTCAACTGAACAACTTACCCTTGAACATTTATGCTACTCGTGAGTACATAATGAGGTGATGTCGGAGCATGATACTAAATGGCTTTTGCTAATAGAACGATAAGCTGAATATATATTCACTTGTGGGTAGTGGTTTGCAAAACAGAGTTAAGAGACATATGTTAAAAAAAAAAAAGAAGATTGAAATATTCTGTGACTAAGCACAAAAATCATAGCTTGTGTTTGTTTGTATTTCTCGAGCAGTAGTTTATAAAACAGGGTTTCGCAAATAACTACGCAACTGTAAAGGATGCAATAATGGAGTCACAAAAATATGTGTAACCGTCAATGTAAGTGCATCATGCACGCACACAAAAGAAGAACCGGAAAGTACTTGGAAGGAGGGTTTAACTCAGCAAAAGCATGCAACAAAAAAAAAAAAAAAAAAAAAACGAAACGAAAATAAAACAAAACCTTATTGTGCATGCACTTAATGCAATTAGTTACAGTTCGTCGCGTGTGCATAAAATCGAAAAGCGCAAAAAAAAAGAAAAAAAAAAAAAACCAAAAGAATGAAAAAAGAGTGAAAATCTCCGAGAGGCAGCTTCAACGCAACATCACCAACAGGCAACAACAACAATAATAATGAAGCATAAAAACATGTACTTGTTTAGATTAGAAAACACAAAATACAATTTTAGCGTATTGATGCTGGCCGTAGCACATGTGTACTGTGAGATAAATATCTCAAACACATGCACTCATATAAATAAACAAAACTTCAAAACATAACAGAGTGCGTAGAGTAACAAAGCAATGAATTTTAGATATTTTGTTTTTTGTTGTTGTTGTTTCCTTTACTCCATTTAATGGCATGAATTTAGAGAAGAAAAATCCTTTAAGTGCTTGCGTAGGTTTTGGTTTCGCGCAATAAAGCCGTATACGCCTTATATGCTGGCTTCATCTCTGAAAAGAACTGCAAACGCAAATGCACTGTTGGATGATTGTGTTACACATCAGCATGTTTTCCGGCCTATGTGTGCGTGTATATGCGCATTTGGGTGTGTGTGTGTGTGTGTGTGTGTGTGTGTGTGTATTCGCGTACAAGCATAAGTATGTAAGCGTATAAATTGTACTCATCAAGCAAATTGTTGCAACGATAAATTGCTTTCGAGTTGAAGTCTTGTTAAGAACGACAAGATTTTAATCACAATCCTATTGAACGAACGAATAAAACTGCATTCGTTTATACTTGCATGCATATATGTATGTCAAACTCTTGCCTTTGCTTGCTGCTGTTGTTTTCGCCTTTGTTATTTGGTTATTCTGAGCTGCTATTATTGCACTTGCCAGCTATCGATATTCGAGAGTATAGAACTTAAATACACTTTTGATTAATCGCTTAAGTGCGGCATTGAATTGTCCAAATATTTGATTTTCTCAATGTTAAAGCCAAAGTATCGTTCAGCGTACTCTTCATTATTATTGATATAAATCAGTTTAAGTGTAACACACATGACATCTAAGGTCATCGTCGAGGGTTTCGAAGACTGCTCATATATATTCATGCGATAGTCATAAGAAACAAATAATGCTTCTACTCATGGCAACAAATGCAGGGAATCAATTTTGACTGTCCGCCACCAGCCGCCCTAAAAGAATATAAAGTCTTATGAGTCGCGTAACTCGTACGGCATTGGTGCTGTGAGGATCAAATTCGAAAATTTTTTAAATCTCACACACAAGCAAATCTACGCCTTACAGCACTGACTTTAGTGCTGAGCTACTTTCAATTTTTTCGCATATTAATGAAAACGTTTTCCTATTCATTCCTTTCAGCATGACCCTGAGCAATGTACCCCTGGTGGCGAGGATGGTAATTATATAATGTTTGCTCGCGCGACCTCTGGCGATAAGAAGAACAACAATAAGTTTTCACCTTGTTCGCTAAAATCAATTGAGCCGGTACTTAATGCTAAGGCTCGCAGTCCGAAAGGTTGCTTCACTGAGCCGCAAACATCAATATGCGGTAACGGTGTTGTTGAGCCGGGAGAACAATGCGATTGCGGTTGGGAAGAGGATTGCAAAGATTCTTGTTGTTTCCCCATGTCACGGCATTCGCGTAGCGATGAGAAACCCTGCACTCTCACGCCGAAGGCTATGTGCAGTCCCTCTCAAGGACCTTGTTGCACTGCTAATTGCAAGCTTAAGTTCGGTGATAAATGCCGCGATGACAACGGTTGCCGTGATCCTAGTTTTTGTGATGGGCGCATGCCGCAATGTCCACCGTCGGTGAATAAACCGAACAAGACGATATGCAACAAAGAGTTTGTGTGCTACATGGGTGAATGTACGGGCAGTATATGTTTGGCTTATGGCTTGGAATCGTGCCAATGTATACCCGGACCCAAGGATGATAAAATCAAATCGTGCGAGCTATGCTGCAAATTACCGGGTGAAGAGAACCCTTGTCGTAGTTCATTCGAATGGAATGAGCCACCATTTGATGTGCCCGACATGTACGCCAAGCCAGGGACACCCTGCAATGATTACAATGGGTAAGTCCTTGTACCTAAGTTTTCTAATTGATGAGCATTTTATGATAATACATTAGCTTGAATTCGTCTTCATTATATATGGTCAAATATCGATTCCTTTTTATATATAGGTATAAGAAAAATTAACCACTACTAACTAACTAAATTTCAGTTGCAATCGTCTAAAATATTAAAGGATTTTTTTAAATTTTATTTCAATTGCTTTTTATTTATTCCGTTTTTTTTTTCTGTATTCTCCGTATTCTTTGTCTTCTTGTCGTTTTCTCCTCTCCTCTATTTATTTTCCATTTCAGTTATTGCGATGTCTTCCAGAAATGTCGTGAAGTTGATCCCTCCGGTCCCTTGGCTACTTTACGTAAACTGCTCTTATCTGAAGAGAGTATTGCAACATTTAAAAAATGGATTCAACACAATTGGTATACTGTCGTTCTGGCCGCCGTGGGGGTTTTTATATTACTGGTAAGTTCAAGTTGAACGTTTTATATATAAATGATATATATTTTTTTTTTGTTGTTTTTGTTTTTGCTGTAACCATAAAACAGTAGTAATGAAATCTCTTGAAATTTATCCTAAAAAAAAAAAAAAAAAAAAAATTGGTTTGTCTGTCAGTCCTTCTACGATACCATTGTGTGTGCGTTTCTTAGTGAAAGACCAAAAAGTTGGTTACTATTGAAATGCATAAATAGATTACGAAGTATTGTGAAATGAGTGAAAAATGCGGTTGAAATATTTTTCTAAGCTTAAATGATGTTTGTGTTTGTATGGCAGCGTATACAAATGAACGTTTTTGTTTTGAAAATTCCTTTTGCTGTAACGCATACAATACGGTTTTCTCTCCGTTTCGATTCTGGCTTTTGCCTTCTGACTCCTCCTAACTCACTTCAATTTAATCCCATTAAAGATTGTAAAGTTTGTTCTCAATATTTTAAATGATGAGTATGTGGAAAAAATTGCTGTGAAGCAATCGCAAAAGCAACACCAACATGAACACCAACAGCAACAGCAACAATCACCACCACGACAACAACAACAACAACAACAGCGACAACATCAAGAACAACGACACCATCAAAAGTCTCACGAACACTTACAACAGCAGGAAAGTAAGTCTGTGTTTAGGTACATAAAAATGCTGTTCGAATAGCAGTGAAAGCTTTTAAAAGTCATTTTCCCCAACGTTGAGATGTAGCTGTACTCTGATTGACGCTGTGTCTAATGTTTTGCACCTTATCCTTTCAAAGGATCATGCTAAGCTTTAGATTTCATTTGTACTCGAAAACATTTATTTATTACACTTACATCGGACATCTGCTCATATGTATATTTTTATAAATAATAAATTAAATTATTTTTAAGCCATAGCTATGGTGAATATTTAACTAATTCCTTTGGGATGCTTTCAAACGGATTCAAAAGCGTCACTTATACATATGCAGTTACTTTATCATCAACACATCTTCCTAGCAAACTTGCGACGCAAACATTGTTGTTGTTGAATTCATTTAGTTCGTTGGTAGTAATTCTAACCTATAAAAAAAATATTCATAATTTTTTCTTAGTTTCGTCAATAAGTGGACGCAATTTGTTAAAAGTTTGTTGCTGTTTTCATCCCTATACACTGACTAATGCAATATCCTTTCTTTGTAACTTTCCTAACGTACAGATACTGAGCACGAAATTATTAGCGAAACGTTCGAATCTAAAATTGAAGTCCGTCACTATAATACACAGCGCAACAACCGAAACTGTACGTCTGCCCGAAGACAACAACGGCGTTATCGTACATACGGCCGTGCGTACAAAAGTCCCGTTCAAAAAGAAGGTAAGAGGGGAACGCAACGCCAATTCCAACAACAACGGCAGCAGCAGCAACAACAACAACAACAACAATGGTAACAAATCTAAATTCGCAGTAGTTAGCGGCAGTAAAAATCCGCTGAAATTCCATAACAATCATATAAGGGGTGTAACTAAAATGAAAACTGCGGCCTCAATAGGGGTAACTGGAGCGATGACTGGTAGTGGGGGTAGCACCGGTAATGATATTAAAAAAGCCACACGCAATAAAAAGAAACGAGCAACTGCTCAAAATATCGTTAATCCCTTATTGGGTCAAACTGATAAACCTGCTCAAACAGAAAGTGGTGGAAAAACGAAATCGAAAAAGCTTAAAAAATCAAGCAAAGAGATAATCGATTATTCCTCGACTAGGGGGGGAGGTAGCAGCGGTCTAGATATGGGAGTTAATCATACAAATACCTTTGGTAAAGTACAAAAATGGTTACTAGAATCACCTATAGTTGCTCAGCCTCTGTCTCATATCGAGCACTCCTCGAAAGTGCACAAAGTGATAAGTAAATCGCAATCAACACCGGAACGTCTGGTACAGAAAACACCCACCAAGAGTAAATCTACGGGTAATTTAAACAACGAAAAGGTTAAGCTTCAAGTAGTCTATAAACCACCGTTCAAGTTCGCTTTGAGGTTATCGAAAAATACTAAAATCAAAACCCACATTATTGGTAATCCGGCCAGCAATACTAATAAATTTAAACGCCATTCACGTTCGATTAATATGAAAGATAGCAAAAGATGTGCTAATAGTCTGAGAGATGATGCTGGCCATGGAAGTGGCCCTGGTGGTACAAACAGTAGCGGCGGAGGTAGTGGCGTGAAAAGTTTAAGTGAGAAAACAAAACGTGCAGCTTTACTGCTGCGTTCCAATAATAATGAAGACAATCAAATATTAACTTTAAACGAACCTAACTATGAGACCTTAAATCCTAAAACGGCTCCTTCCAAAATGGAAAATCCCTTCTATGAGAACTTGAAATTCCTGCAAAGCACAGAAAAACGCCACAGTGATCCTAATGTAGAGTCATCTTCCACAACGACGAACAATAGCAATAGTCAAGCCACAGCTGATCCGGCAGCAGTGAAACGAAGTTCCAGTAAATCAAAAATGGATATAATTCAGGGCTCAACAGCTACCACCAGTCATCATCATTTTCAGCGTTCCTTAAGTTCTAGTAATCCGTTTGCGAGCGATTGTATGCGTTCCTCTCGCAAATTTAGCGAAACTAATGCCAACGAATTATCTCGTAATTTTGGCAGCACGCAAAACTTAATACCGAGCGGGCATCAAACAAATTTAACAAAATCAAAAAAACGCAGCAGCCTCAACTTGAAGACGAGCATAACGAAAAATGGTAAAGATCCACCAACCAAACGAAGTAATTCGAATATGCATTTGCGAAGAAATAGCGCCAGCAATGGTGCCGAGGTTAGCAAACTACAAAGTAATCATAATAAAGTAACGCAATCGCAATCGCATTCGCAAGCCCTAAAACGTAGTATAAGTAACAATGCGCAACAGTCGTCCACCCATGTTTTAGCCAAAACATTGTCCTCTAACTGTCAAGCGCCAAGTTCAGCCATTACACAACTGCCCCTGTACAATGCTCAGCGTGCGACGCGTTCTAGTTTTAGCAATATACCCAGAGCTAGTCTTACACTCGCAACTAATATATTAGCAAGTGCTGCGAGTACGGTTAGTAACGGACACTCTTCTACCTCTGCTGCCAACAGTAACGGCAGCAATAGCATAGGCTGTGCTGCAGGCAGTAATACTCCGGCCAATCTCATCAACAACAGCATTAATAATTTCCATTTAACCACGCCAGCGTCCATAGCCCAGGTAATGCAGTCCGCCGAACAAAGGCGAGCACGAAATAATTTAAATCAAACAATGCCAGGAGTACAACAACACTATCAACAACAACAACAACAACGTTCCAATTCGATAAGACAGCATGCCCATAATCATCATCCGCCACCACTGCCTATATCAGCTATATCAACATCAATATCTTCAACAACAGCAACGACAACAACAACAACAACAGCAGCAGCAGCATCAAATATTAGCCATAATAGTAATGATTTAACCTCGGACTTGGAGGTTTTAGTATCCGATATAGAAAATCTAGTTAGTTAGTCAAGAGCTTTGAAAAAAGTTATTTCATTTTTCGATTATTTAACATGAAACGATCCGCGTTTAACACGTTACATATTAATACTAGACACACACACACACACACTTGCGGACGCGCTTGCGCGGATCTACACGTACACTTGCACATTAACATTTAAAAAGTATTGAACTTCCTAAACAAACAACAACAACAAAAAGAAAGAAAAAAAGA